ATTCGATGAAAGTGATTCGCCAGATGATAATCCGAATACGGAATCTCTCGAGAGCTCCTCGGGTTTGGCAGAGTCTGAATCTGGACAGGCAGACGATGCTCCTGGTTTGAACTCTGTCGTGCAACCAGCTGGAGCAGGGCTTTCTAATCCTAGCTCTGTCAGCAACTCTCCTTCTTCCTCGACGGGACAGACAGCTCTTTCTCCATCTCCGTCTTCATCTCCAGCCTCTGCCTCCGACGACGACGACGACGACGACGACGACGACGACTTTGATCTTTCTCCTATTGGTATCATGGAGTCTATAGGTGCCCTGTTTAATTACTTTACATTCGTAAATCCGCTACATTACGGGTTCTTTAGCTTGGCTGCAGCGCCGTTCACAGCTTTGGCAGCTGGTATTCTGGGCATATTTAGCTTTCTGTTTCCTTGGATGTTCCCCAGTGGGTTCAGTTTCAATCGTGCTGGTAGAAACTATGCGGTCAATTTCTGGCCTAACGTTGAGGAGATCGTATGGCCATCGATAGATAACCATGGGAGAATGAACGAGTGGAAACGTAGAAGGAAGAAGCGGAAGAGATGAGGTTCAGCGGGGTGTCACGTTTAAATTCTTATATTCGGCTGATGCAAACTTTGGTTTGTAGAATCGTGGGAGATGCGTATAGTACAAGTGATGAGGTCGTAAGGACGCGAAAGATAGAACAAGGAAGAGATTGGGAAATCGTAAATTGGGCTTCTAGTTAATGTACATACATACATACATACATACATGTTAGACTTGCTCTAGAAGATTTTTTTTTAAGCGATCTATTTATTTAAATATTCCTTTTTGTTATTATGCATTGTATTTAGGAACGGTATGAAATTCCATGCATGACCGTTAGAGAATAATTTTTAACCTCGCCAAAAGTAGCTTTAAAACTGTACTAACGATTATAAACGAATGCTTACAGAGAGTAGTTTAGAAACATGAGAAGCAGTATTAGTAAACTTAAACGAATTCGCATTGTAATCTTTAAGTTAGAATTTCTTTAAATATAATATTTGAATTTTATTTAACTTAATCTTACGTCATTTTAGGGCATTGCTAGTATTTGTGTGCCAGTGAACTGTAATCGAAATAAACCCATTGAAACGAACAAATTTGTATTCTTTTCTCTATATAACCATGAAATTTGTAGATCTTAGTCGACGGTATAGTTCATTATATTGTATAAGTAGATCATTCGTATTCCTGACTTCCCAAATATCCTAAGCCTTGAAAGAAGAGAACAACTTAGAATCAGAACGACTTTGACAATGGACCTAAAAATAGCTTATCTCGTGTAAGTAGGAGTTTGCAAAAAATAGATTATCGATAAAGGTAAGAAGAAATTGCTTTATATCGAACACAATGGTGACTCGTCTCGCAACATCGTTTTATTCGAAATGTCTGTTCCAAACTCGACGCGCGATTTCTTAAGAAACGAGACTAACTGAATAATTTCATTTCAGTGGTCAGCTAAACGACACGCGCGATCTGAAAGACCTGCAGTACATCGACCAATCCTTGAGAACTGTTGCCACTCAACTACTGAACGTGTCCAGTCCAGAAGAAACTGGGAACAAACCCAATAGTCAAAAATTATCCGAGAAAAACGACGTTTCACCAGCGAACGAGACTATCGTCAATAACGGTCAGCCCCAGAGCGCAAGTTTCGGTAGACCGATAAACTCCAAGTTTGGCTACTTCGAGACAAGCCATCCCGGTCAAGCCATGGCCATAACCGAAGAGGAACTCGAGAGAGAGATGAGCTCGACGCGGCTGATGACCGCGTACAAAAATCATCCGACGACTACCGGTGGAATTTCTACGTGGATCCTCTTGAATCCACCGTCCACTACGATGAAAACAACAGAGACGAATAAAAAGACGAAGCAACCTTTGGAAAGCGAAGCGCGCGTTACTGTCAAGCCGACAACTTTGATGGAGCGAGCGGAGACAACCGAAAGGGTGATCGAAAGAGTAACGGTACCTATTTCTACCACGATCACATTGGAAGAACCTATCGGCACGAGGAAGACGGTTACCGCAACCACGAAAAAGACGACCGATTCGAAGCCGGAAAGGACCCAGAGCATCGATAAAATGGAACCCCTTCGAAATACGAGTTCGAAGATCGCTGAAATCACTGCAAACAATTTCGAGAGCAAAGAGGTTTCGGTTAGCCCCACCAAAAAGGTTTACACCGTGAGAACGACACCCAAGCCTAAAACTGCCACCATGAAAACAACCGTGTTGTCGAAACCATCGATCTCGAAGACGTCCAGACCGACGCAACAACCAAGACCGAAGCCTTTGATCAGGAGAACCACCGTTAAGTCGGATATCGCCAAGAACGAGAATAATTCCACGGCTAAAGTAGAAAAAGTCACTTTTCGACCTGTCCAGATGATCACGATCCCGAAGAGCAAGCCAGAGACCACGGAGAAGCCCATGTTCGTGACCAAGATCAAAGCCTCGATTCTGATGGAGACCCAGAAAACCACCGTGCCATCCGTTTACTCTACGATCAATTTGACGACAACTTCGAAACCGACTACGCCTGACGGCGATTCGATAGAGATGCCAGCCAAGACGAAGCCCATCGTCACGAAAAACAACGTTCTGAAAGCGCACTTAAAGAAGCCTCTGGATGATACGAAGATCGAGATACAACCCATCAAAGTAAACGCACCTATTTTGAAGATCGAGAAAGTCGAGAACGTAGATCCTAAGGAGGATGACAGCCTCAACAACTCTAGAATAGATTTGAAGTTTGATTTCAATCCCGAATTGACAAAGATCAACGTGGACACGGAGACTTTGAGCTCGAGTACAACTCCAACATCGACGTCGACCACCAAAAGACTCAGGCAGAGCTTAAAGAGGAAGAAGAACAAGAGTCGAAGGCGTAAACCTTCCACTTCCACTTCTACTTCCAGCTCCTCTTACACTACCACGACTACAGTGTTACCTCTGATGACCAATAGAACAGAAATCGAGCTGATTGCAGAGGAGACAGTCGCCGAGAACGGAATACAAGAGTCGAAAATCGTGCCAGAAACGAAAGTAGCCGTTAATTCGACCAAGACGAAGAAGAAGCCGGCGGAGAAGCCGATCAGTACTCAGATCTACAATTTCCTGAGCCGAGAAGTGATGCCCAGTTTTGGAATGATGTCTCTGGTGGGGCTTGGACTAGGCTTGGCCTCCTATTTCTTGTATCCCTTTGGAGGAACGATAGCTCGAAGGAACTACGAGATCGAGCCCAAGTACAAGTACAACTTGGACGAATACGGTGGGAACTATGGCCAGAGCGAAGAGGAGGTTCTATCGAAGGTTCTTCAAGGCATGACCACCGACGAGACCAAGTATCCTGGTATCAAGGACTACGACAACAATTACTATCGATACCAACACTACGACGGAGGTTACGATCCTCAGATGACCAAAAAGTACGAGGAAAGGTACACCACATCGTCCCCGATCTATCGTCCGGAGAACACAGCCTCCGTTCTAAAGTACAGGAACACGGACTATCGATATTCCGACTCGTCGAGTACATCCAATTACTACGAAAGAACTAAAAACTCAGAGTATGTAGCTGGACAATCCGTTCCTGACTCGGCGAATCGACAGTTCGTGGTAGGAAACGTACCCAAACAGTACCCACCTTACGAGGAAAAGATTCCAAGCTTGTCCACTTCTGAAAAGTTTGTAAACGGCTACGAGCCGACAGAGAGCGACCAGCCGCAGAATTTTAATTTTCCAGGGAGTTCTGTTCAAGGCTACGGTCAAATACAAACTGCTAGACCAGAAGATGGCTACGAAGAAGTCGAGATCACACCTACCGCGGTCGCGGTAGAACATGGCCCTAGATCGCTAAAGTTGGAGAGGTTCTCTCCGGACACGATGGATTCATCTTCGTCAGAGTCCGGTCCAGTCCGGTCCAGGAAGAAAAGGGATTCCGTGATTCAGATTATACCCACCAAGAGGGAGCTCGAAGAGGAGGAGAAGGAAGAAGACCTGAGCAACGAGATACTGAACATCATCGATTCGGCTCTGCCCGGAGAAAAAATGGACAACAAGAACAAAATACAGGACAACGAGGTGGAGGACTTTGAGGCGCAGAGGAGAAGAAAAAAGGAAGAGGAGAAGACGCGTTTGAAGGAATCCACGATGAAGGTTCCGACTACCGAAACGAGCACAGCGGCCAGCGTAGAGACGTCCACGCAGGAATCGATCTCTTCGGTAACGAAGCAAGTTGCGAATTCCCCGATGGAGGTTGATTCCGATGATACCCCGGTGCAAAGCTCGACGAGCACCGAACAGAGCAACGTCGAGTGGATCGATTTAACCACGGTGCAGCCGTCGGAACAGCCACCCGAACAGGATGGTTTCAATATATTCAATGTCGTGAAGAAGATCGCCGAGATAAAGTTCAGACTTGGCCTGACGTTGCTTAAACACGCTAGCGAAGGCTTTGCCAGATACCTTGGTCACGTGCAGAAGAGGATCAACGGAGAGGAGTGAAAGGTTTTGTTTTTAAAACCGCGGGATAAAGGACCGAAGTGACGATTACGAGTTTCCGTTACTGTTTCGCTTTACAGATGACAGAATATTCCTCGCGTGTTTTCTATGCATCCGATCAACTTGTACTTACCTTTGTTTGGGCTGTGTATTATTCGATCTTGTCGTATTTCACTATCTTCAAACATCGTTGTTCACGAATGAGCTGCATCTATCGAGACACTCGTCTATCTCTCTTTTACGGAATAATTAATAAGGAATTAGTTGATACAAGTGGGTGCTACTTGGATAACGAGATAACGAAAACGATAGGCTTTAACACGGATATTAGAGAATAGGATTTCTCGCATGGAGTGCATCTCGATTCGATGAGAGTACAAAAATGCACTCGACGTTTTTTCGGAAACCGAATGTCGGCAAAGTTGTAAAGGTTCGAGAAATAACTGGCGAAAAGTTCTATTTTATTTCGATATTATTTCTTGTTCTGCTACTTTTTATTAAGTATTTAAGCGAACGGCGAAATATACGGCAATAAAGTAAAGTATGTTATAAATAAATATTAATAAATAAATAAATAAATAAATGAATAAGATATGCGTCTATACATATAGTACCTTGACTATACATGTAAATATATGATAAATTTAAACATCTCGGTAGAAAGTCCTTTTTACCCATGTAAATTTCATTTGCCTTCCAACTATAGTTTCACTTTCTAAATCCTAACTCGCTGTTTGCTAGCTCGATAACATGTTTTATTAATTTCTTAAACGAAACTTGACTTTTTCGACGAGAAATTCAAGTATATACGGCACATGATCGCGCGTATTCCCTTGTGATCGATAACAGCTTCATAATTACATTTGCGTTCCGATTGTGAGATCGTCCATCTTTGTCCGTCCTAGTAATTTCCACGAATTATCGGAGACCCGTTCCTTCTCGATTAACTTACACTCGCTATTCGCGCCGCGTTCCTTGAATTCGATGTTTATTCGCGAGCGCGCGAATATCCAGCATCGAATCACGTGAATCGGGGAGTCTCGGTTCCAGAGCGAGGTCTCTCTTTCTACGGCCAAGTATCATCGGTATCATCATTGCCATAGTTGCTGGTAATATCCCTGTAGAGGAACAAAGTAATCCAATTAGTCTATTACATATTTCTATTATAATATTATTTTAATGTAAATTTTACAGAATGTAACCGACCTGCGCTGACGGCTGCAAGGACAGCGGAGTTAGAGGGCTGATTGGTCAGCGTGTTCCTGATGGGTCTCTTTTTCAGTATAGCGGACAGGGTTTGTCTCTCCAACTCGTACTCCTTTCGGCTCTGGTCCACGCTCTTGAACGTCTTCTCCACTTCCAGGAGACCCCCGTGGGATGTTGTCGTATTCGTGCCGTTGATCGACGGTAACACCGTCAGCCTGACCTAGGTAAACGGTATTTCATCAAGCGACTGCCGTTTAAAAATATCGAGAGTATGGATCATACAAACAAAAAGAAAAAAAAAAAAAGAAAAAAAAAACTGTAAGAAAGTTACAAGGTATCGCGAAAACTTGTTCGATCATCTAGCCTAACCTGTCGCTTCGAAGTCATCACGGCAACCGTCGGATCGTGCTCGTTCCTAAGGCCGCCGATACTCCTCGTTCCGTTCCCTGGAGGGTTCGTCGAGTCGATCTTGATCGACCTCTGCCTAGACTTGGAGTAGCCTCTGTTCGTCGACAAAAGGACCCACTGTCCGTCGCTGTTTCCAGGGTAGGTCTGCGGGTGATCGTTAACATACTGATACTGCGAGAATCCTGGTCGTTCCGTGGAAGGTCGAATACGATCGTCGAATCTCGAAGGAAAATCGTGCCAGTCGTTGCTCTCTTCGGCCTGATTCTTGTCACCGTATCGATCTACGAATTGGTAACTGGAACTGGGCTTCGTTGGCTGAGGTCTGTTCCAATTGCCGGGGAAATTCGCAGGACGATTGTCGGTGATTATTTCGCTGTTAGGACGATCGGTGTACTTGTTCCAGGATGGTCTTTCTGGCGGCCACTTTTGCGCTTGGGTCTCCTCGTTCTTATCCCCGTAATAGGAGGGACGAGAGGTGGGCTTCTGCCAAGGCTTTTCGTTGCTATTTTCCGTCCATGTCGGTTTTGGTTTCTCGTACCTGAAATCGATCGAGTGTCGGTTTGAATGTTGGCAAAAGGACACTTTGTAAAATTGGGACCAGACGTAAAGAAAAAGTTGGATATGGATTTACCATGGCTTATTGTTTTCGATGACTGGTCTAATGGAGTAGTCGGATGTCCAAGGTTTTCCTATGCCCGGTTTGTCCCATGGTTTCATATCTGGCCAGGGACGTTGCGTGGTAGCGGTTGCCTGCCACTTGGAGATTTTGCTTTTCGACCACGGGATCGCCTCTAGAGTGACCCAACCGTTTCTGTCCTCGTACGAATTCGATCCATAGTATTTATTTCTCTTGAGGGTGTCATTCGAGGCCTCGTTTAACTGAAATCAACAATGTTTTATTTTCCAACGAGCCAACGAACGCTATTATTACATTATTTCTCGTTTAACGTTGAAAACTTACCGTATTCGTAGTCGGCGTAGTGTTGGCCGCGACCTCGTCGTACTTGGTTTCTTGTTCGTAGGTTGTACTGGTGGAATACGTCGATTGATCGTCGACTTCGAGAGCGAGGGGCTCGGAAGGCTTGACGATCTTAAACGGATATTTCGGGTACTTTTCGGTGGTGGTTTTGATTTTGTTTGCGTATTCCTCGAGAAATTTGTTTAATACGTCTGGATTGAACGTCGACGTTTCGAACGCGTTCCTTTGCTCCTCCCCGATGTCGGGAAACCCCTTGATCATTCTCTCGCCCTCCGCCTGAAAGTTAGTCTTTGTTGCATCATACAATGGATTCGGTGTGGCCGCGATCGACTCCTCAAGTACCCTCAGACTATCGCCTCTCGTCTTGAACAACTCGGACCCGTTCGTCTTCATCTTCATGAAATACCTCGTGCTGCACTGGGTCCCTCTCATACTCAAGGTTACCAGCAGCAGACAGATCGCTCCTCTCGGTGCCATCTGAAACGCATCAGAAAACTGCTCACTTGCGCTCTCGTCGCATTTCGGCACGTGAAAGCTACTTCGAAACGGTACAAAGCGCGTTGAGACACCCTCGTCGCGTCGCGTCGACCACCAACAAGACTATCGGAATTCGGAATCTCTTGTCATAGTTTGTTTTATTCTGATCGTGATCGTGAAACGGCACTTTAACGATCTTCTCGTGAAAGCAAGCGACGCCGACGCGACGTGTTCGCGAGAGAAGAAAATGAAGCGAGTTAGATCGCGACACTGACCTTGTCGTTGTTCGTCGTCCGATTTGCTGGCTCAGCCTGGCGCCGACGTTGAATCGCGCGGACAACCAGGATCGCCTCCTCGAACAGCCGCAAGCCCCGTTAGAAAAATCACCCACCGCCGATCCTGGTACCACAGCAACGTCTGCGACTTTCCGCTCGACCTCGACTCTTCAAGGTGCAGAGATGGCTCTGTCGCCGAGACGTTGCCCTCGTTTGCTTTTAATCCAGGTCCCCACTTCGTGGTGACTTGGTCCATTTTCTGTCTCTCTCGCGGCCTTCTGGTTCACGTTGTTGGCGCTCCGTACTCCTGGTTCACCTAGAGAACGGACGCAGACCATCCTTCTCTCCTATCTTGGGATCTATTCTTTCGCCTCCTTGTCGGATGATAATTGTCCCCCGGTATGGGAGGATCACCGCGAGTATTCGATGAGACAATCGACACAGATTCCGACCTTCGTAGATTTGGATCGATTACTTCGTGCCTGGAAATTCGATACGTCCCACGATACATTGCGGAAAGAAGAACGCACCGCATGGCGTCGGATTCTTTGAGAATCCTCGAGAATTCGAAGGCTATTTTCGGTATAGTTCATTCATTCGATTGTATCTCTTACGTCGCGTGAAACACGATCAAAGAATGGACTAGAATTGATTTTTAAACGCGTTTACTATTATAGTTTCTTTAATCTGGCGATTCGTCGACTGTTTTCAAGGTGCGAATCACATGAAAAAGCGAGGATTTGTCACGCGCTAATTGCTGCAGCGTGCACGGACAATCAACGGCTGCTTTACGCGCTTGTTTTTCTGGTCGTGATTTCGAGTGTCAGCCATCGTCGCCGAGTCGTTCTTAATTCTTCGGTTTTTTCACCGATCGAATTGGTACTCGTTGTTCGTCAACGAGATTTTACAAAGAATTTACGTATTAATCCAAATCACAGGCGAACAAGATTATCGGTAGACGATTATATTTTTATCGGAAATTTGTCGTTTTTGGACGCTCAAGTGTTTGGTGGATAAAGGATACGGAAGAGACAGAGAAGCCGCGGGTCTCGACGGTCGACAAATCATCGATTCGACTCTGTTTGTCGTAGGTGCCACGAATCGACGACGAGAGGGAGTCGGTCGTTTCGCAATTTTTTTGCTTTCTCGGCCCAGAAACCTGCGGTTTTTTTTTTTTGCCTTTTTTATTTCACGGAATCACCGAGATTCTTTGCTAGTCCGCGAGTGAAATGCGTCCAATGTTTCCGTTTTACGAGCAGCTTCCGATCCTCGGACCGGGTTTTCACCGATTCCCCATTTTTGCATCCTCGACCCACAAACTAACCGTTCTTCTCCACGAAGAAATATCCGTGACTTCGGTAACCAATCACGCGGAATTTTATCACGGAATCGGCTCGCTTATTTCCCGCCCGACTAAAAAAACTCTCGATGCTTCGCGCAAGAAAATAACCGCTCGAGTGCATTCCGTGACTGTCTCGAGGACAGTTGGCGGTATGCAAACAACAACAGAATTCCTCTAGGTATTTATTAATCGCGGATAAACAAATCTATCTATCGATGACAGCACAAACAGACAAATAGACTCGATTCGATGGGAGAACTTCCGTTTTATATACAACTGTGAAGATTTTTTCTCTTCCGATTCCGGCCTAGCGGTGCGGTCGGCTGGCCTACTCGAAACCGGAATTGGGTCGTTCGAGGCGTAGATAACCGCGAAAACGAGCAACACGAGGCAGCTGAAAAAGAAAGAAACGACGGCTGTCACAAGTGCAGGGAACGCTACTTTCATTGTCGGCTGGCTAAACGGAAGGGGAACGACGACACCGACGGATTTCTCACGGCGCGGCGACGGCGGTGATTTGCACGTTGTTTGTATTCGTACTTTAAGGATGTTACCTTGTCGTGACGATGACGGAGAAATTGAAGGTTTGCGCGAATAGTGTACGTACGAGCCAATGAAATAAAGTTGATCGAACGACGAGAAAACAGCGAAAATACCGACGCGTTCGTGAGTTGGGTGTGGTACCTCTGAACACCGAGCTCGTGGAACCAACGATCGAGACAATCCCTATCGAAGAGTATTGAGAGAGATCCGAGACTGTCAGAGAGTGTCGCAGTGGTGCAACGTTTGCATAAAATCGAGTCAGTAAAATGATTTTTCATAAACGATAAATCGTACAAAGGCATCATCTTGCATCTCGCTAGCCTTCATCCAGTTTTCTTAGCGAGGATTGACCTCCGTCTGAAATAAGGTCAGACTCTCGCCGCTCGCTGATAAAACTCGCCTTAGAAAGTCTTTTCACCCCCTTTCCGCTCTTTGCTCACATTCCGTGAAGCCGTAGTAAACGTATTTTTTCATCCATTTTAAGTCTCATTCGTAGAAATTCAATCCGAGCCAATGACTGAATTAGCAACGCTACAGGGTGTGCGCTGTATGGACAATGTAGCTGTTGGCAAATTTGTCTTCACCTCGACACGTTTCCGACAGTAAAAACCTACTTTCAAGTGTACTTTCCTTGAAAAATGATTATCGATGCGTAACATCCATCCGACATCCAGGCTGTCTCAGTTATCTTATTTTCTGTGTCTTTTCAATCGCTTTCATTCCGATCTCGTCGAAGCTAATTTACGTTAATATATCCAGATCCGAACGGAAATTGCGACAGCTCTGAAATCATCCAAACATTTCATCGGGTCCAAGTGTTTCTCTGGCTGTAACGCGTACCGACCGAACTGCCTGCTGGAACTAAGCATCCACTTTGTCAACGGCAAGTGGAGTGAGGCTGGCGATTAAGACACGAAATTGCCTTTGCGTTCACGCTTTTTAGAAAACACGTTCGTGCCTGCATCGCGTTAAAGACGCCAAACAATCAAAGGAAAGGCTTAGTCTAACGGACACGTCGCGATGGAAAACACTTTGCTAGTTTTTCCATTTTCACGGCTGTAGAATCCCTTTGACAAAATGTGCTTTCGAATTCTCGCAGCAAAGGTGCTGTTGCTTTCTCTTCTGGTGTCGGCTAGCTCCATCCGTTCCAAGGATCTCGAAGATGATAGAAACGAGTCCGCGAGCGAGGAGGTGAAGCCGATCGAACAGGAATCCTTCGAGGAGGCCTCGAGCGAAAACGAGTTCTCGTTGCAGTCGGCGACAACCACCGAGTACACGACCACGGTGGTAACCTACGGAAAGATAAGGTCGTTCGTGGCTTCGCAGAAGAACGTCTCCGAGGAGTTCAGGCCCAGCGCTCCTCTTGGAGAGATCAAAGAGTCGAGGATCAACGGGAATCCGTTCGATAACGCGCATCACGTCAAATTCGAGAACGATCACGACCCCAACTCTTATCGCGAGCAACTTGAAAACTTCCAGCTGGTGATCCAGCCTACGAGTCACTCGGATCAAACCGATCAACATGGAAATCTTCATCAGAGTTTCTTCGGGACTGTTTCTGGGTCCTCGGAGGAGGGTAAAAAGGAAGGAGCGGAACAAACCGCGTATGTGACATTTCATACCGATCCGATCGGGACATCTGTCCCGATGATCCATTATGGATCGTTGAAGGATCAACAGTTTCATCAGCAGTTTGTTCAGCCGATCGCGGAAAATGTTGGAACGCAGCGAGATCCGATGGACCAAAAGATCTTTGAAAATCTGCAGAAACCGGTCTACGAACAGAACGCACCCACCTTTTTTCAAAAACCGTCCAAGTTTCACAGCGAAACGCAGAAACACGAATCGGGGAGCTTTGCGTCCATCGATCATCCGAGCTCGCCGTATTTTGGTGGAGCTTACGATCACCAGATCCATCGGCCTGTTTCGCACGACTTTGGTGTGCCGGCGCCGAACAAGCCGATCAACGGAGTCGTTTATGCACAAGAGTCGACTTTTATGAGGACTAGAAAGTTTCCTTATTCGTTTTACCAGCCAGCAGTTGGATACCATCAGATAGAGTTCGTTAACAACGATCAGCCGGTTTATCCTGTTAGAAAGAGGTACGCATCTGTTTCACGTTGTATTTCTACTTTATGTTTCATTTTTCATTCTCTTTCATACCTTTCGAAATGTTCAATCGCCACTGTTCCATCTTCGTTGAAAGTCTTTCGAAAGTATTCTTTCGCGCGAAATGAAAACGACACTGAGATAGCCTGTAATCGACCAAGCATTCGTTTTCACCATTTTTCTGCCCGTTGATCTCAAACAATGGCCTCGAAATACAACTTAATTAGAAGCATCGTTTACTCTGTACAGAGCATTTAATTTATTCGGTAGAGTTTCACCCTGGAAGAAGATCTTGCATTTAATCGGTGCGTTTCTACCTTTTGGACTGCTCCTGGCGGCTCTAACGCCTACCGTCGTCAAGGTCAACAATACAACGTAAGTATTTTTCTCCCTTCGATCTCGTTTATTCCTTGATTTCTCGACGCAATCGAATCCCTACAGAGAACCGAACATCGTTCTTTCCAAGCTGAGGGTCGCCGACCTGCCGGTTGAACACAAACAGGCACGATTCATCGAGGAACCTCCAACGGTTTGCGAGGAGAGATCCATCTGCGAGCTGATTTCTGTCGGCGACCAACCGGGTTCGAGCGTGTTGCAAAATCTTCTGTGGAATCTGGCTACCAGGTAATTCGAGTTAATTTCTTGTAATAGCGGCTGAATTTTACACAACTACGAACGTTTCGATAAGGATCTTTAGGAGACCTTTACGTAGCAAAGTGATTCTATGCAGATGCTTTTACTGTTACTCTGCATCGCAGCCTTTAATTTTCATTTGAATACTTTGACGGTGTATTCTTAGATTGCTATACAGGCTGGTTTAGAAGTGGTTTACGTTCTGAATTACAACAAAACGGACCTTTGCATTCTTTGAGTGGAATTCATATTATTATATATTCTTAATGCGCACGTTTCTCATTGCTAGAACATCGACGACAGTCGCTAAAGAGAATGGTCTTCGAGACGTCTTCGAGGCGGTAAAGAAGAAGGATTGCACAAGAGTTGCTTGCTGATTGTTAACATGAGAATGTGGAAAGCATGTCTACGACAATGACAATGGTTTCTCGGAGAAAAAAGTTACACGTGAAAACAAATTTCTGGAGGAGTAAGGTCGAAAGCCCGACGTCTATCCTGAGCATTTCTTTGCATCGCGAACAAACGTTTTATATATGAACGAGGAAGTGAAAGGACCATCGAAATCGTGGTACAAGATTCTCATCGTTGCAGACTCATCAAGGACTTTGGAGCGTCGGCGTCGTACAGTTCATCCTGAAATTCTTGACTTTTAAAAGATAGAATGTCTTCGCAAAAGTGATCGGAAGCTATTTTGATAAACGACCAGAAGCCGGATGAGAAGATTAGTCGGGAATTCTTCGAACGAGCCGTGTGTGTTTGGTAGCCGCAAGTGAAAGTAGTCACAGTGTACAAGTGGGTCGACGATACTCTATGTCGACTCGACCCAAGAATTTATGTCTCTGCGATGAGATACGGGTTATCGGTGACTGCAACAAGCTTTCACGTACATCTCGAGTACACGGTGCATCTCGAAACCGGACGAGATATCGATGCTGGCTCCTATGAAATCACTGTCTTATTTGCATTCGAGGTGATTTCAATGCCGAGGTAGTATGGAAATAAATAGTGCTCCTAATTTAATTTTTCATTACTTCAATTACTAACTGTCGAAGAAAAGTTTAATTTAGATCGATATCAATGTTTGTATATCGAACGAAACAATTTATCCGATACCGACATGTATTAGAAAATGCAAATAAACTATCGTTAAAAATCGCCCGCGAGGGAACTCGGGAAAGAAAGTCCACCAATTAGAATCTCTCCAATTAGAATTCTCTCTTCCCTCTTAAGCACGCTTTCCGAAAGGTCGTGGTCCCATCGGCATCGGTGTCGCTCGACCACGTTTCTTCGCGTTACGCAGGACTGAAACAATTTGATTGGCAACGAAAGTGAGCCACTTTTTACCGACGGTTCTACTTTTGCGTGCGCAGTCGAGAGTTTCGAGAACACGCTCGAGCCAACGAGATCTTTGCTCGTAAAACGGAAAAATAGCCTGGGATTTCCGGTCATCGCGACAGCCGGCTCGAAGATACGCGCGGCTTTTTATCGCGGCAAGTACCGTGCTGAACGAAATGGCCAAGATTACCGAACGTCACCGTCTCGATTCGTTTCCACGCAATAAAAGAACCGGGGAAATCGTGGATGAGAAATTTGAAGGGGACTCGCGATTAGGGTTTCTGGGACGTAGTTCTGAATTTTTTCGCGCTTCGGTTAATAGTTTCACGGTTTTCGCTACTCGAGGGCTGTCGAGACTTTGTCGATTTTATTCTTCGCTTCCCAGAATCGAGTATTTTTCGAGGAGGAACCGCGCGATGCAAATACCGACGGATACACGAATAAATTACATATTTCACCAACATTTTACCTCGAACCTCTCGTCGCGCCATCGTCGACGGATGAATATCGAATCCAAAATTCTTTTCGTCTGTTTTAAACTCGTAAACGACATTGCCAGGACTTACGATCAGCGACGAACCACGGTGAATCGGGAGAATCGCATGAAAAAATCCAGTGGAAGTTTTTCAAGAGAGTTCTCGAACTCGATCGAATGTACTTGGACGTACATACGTGGGTCGTTCGCTATGACGGCGCGTAGGTTCGTCTTCGAGGTATGTCAAGGAAAACGAGTGTGCAACAGGCGACGTCGAACGATATTGGAAAACATCGAGG